CCCTGATGGGTGTTGCAGTCCCACAGCATCTGGAGAGCTGTTCTTTCTTCACCCCTGTTCTTTGAAATGTCCTGTTCATGAGAGTGTGCACATTTGTAAACCCCACATCATGTGGGAATATGTGCTTTGGAGTGTTTTCCCATCTTCTTCAGGGTTAAAAAAGTGCTGTCCCCGAGCCTTGTTTTTGTCCCCCAAACATTCCCTGGAAATTCTCCAGGCCCTCTGGTTTAATTTACCCACCCAAAAAAACCTTCTAAACTGTTATACAAAATAATCAAAATTGGTTCAAAATGGCAGTTGGAAGTGATGTCGCATCACTTCCAATGCACTCTGAATACGGGTGCCAAGCGGATTATGGAAGGAAAAAATTGGCCACTGCCCTCCCCAAAGGCACTGGATCCCACTTAATCTTGGAGGTTAAGCAGATTATCGCATGCCTCAAATAATATTACTTACCTCTCCCGAATTTAACTCTCATTTGCGCTGCAGCCGTGTTTTATTGCACGGCTTTTGCAGTGGAATCCGAGCGAATTGGGAAACGTGCTCCAGTGGCCATTTTTCGAAGTCGGAACATTTTCGAATGTGCATTGGAGTGGGGATCTACGCTGAAGTCAGATTCCTCTGCAAGAGCCGTGTGATAAAAACACAGCCGCAGCGTGAATTAGAGTAAAATTCAGGAGAGGTAAGGAGTATTATTTAAGGCAGGTGATAATCTCCAGAGTCAGCCCTGGTTAGTACATGGATAGGAGGCCGCCAGCTAGATGCTGTAGTAGGCTATATTTCAGAGGAAATAACTGGCAAACCACCTCTGGGGATTCCTTGCCTAAGAAAACCCTAAGAAATTCATGGGATGGCCGTAAGTCAACATTTTACTTGAAGGCACATAAACACACACCTCTGTGCAGTGGCCCACCCTTGTTCCAGATGTTTTACTATTGAATGAGAATGCCCATCAAAGACTGAATTCTGTGAAGCATTAAGGTGGCGTAAATCCAGGTTGAGAGCCAGCATGGCATCGTGGTTTGAGTGCTGGATTAAGACTCTGGAGACCAGGGTTCGAATCCCCATTGAGCCATGAAACCCACTGGGTTACCTTAAGTCATACTCTCTCAGGGAATGGCAATGACAAAACCCCTCTGAAGAAACGTGCCAAGAAAACCCCATTATAGGTTCACCATAGGATCACTATAAGACAGAAACAACGTGAAGGCACATAACAACAATAAATATGGGTTATGCCAGTGGTTCCATCCCAGATAGCGTAATGCTTTGAGTGCTGGACTACAACTCTGGAGATCAGGGTTCAATTCCCCGCTCAGCTACAAAGCCCACTGGGCAAGTCGCACGCTCTCAGCCTCAGGCAAACCTCTGAACAAGTCTTGCCCAAAAAATCCCATGATACGTTCGCCTTAGGGTCGTCATAAGGTGGAAATGACTTGAAGACACTCAACAACAAGCGTAAGGAGGTAGGGAGTACCCATTTATTTAAGCAGTTCCTAGTTGGGTTGCAATGCAGTACAATGTAAAGAATGGTCCAGTGCAGGGGTAGGCAACCTAAGGCCCGGGGGCCGGATGCGGCCCCCAAGGCCTTTGGACCGGCCCCAGCTGGTCCTTCCTCCGCCGCCGCCGCCCACCATGATGATATTGATTATTGTTGTTATTACTTGTTCTTGGGGTTTTCTTGGCAAAATCTCCACAGGAGTTTTGCCATGGCTTTTCTGGGGCTGAGAGAGTGTGCATGCATATATTTTTTAATTTTTAAAATTTTGTTTAAATTTTTTATTTTTATTTATTTATTTATTTTGGGTGCTTCGGCCCCCCCCCCCCAATTGTCTGAGGGACAGCAACCCGGCCCCCGGCTCAAAAAGGTTGCCTACCCCTGGTCCAGTGTATAGGTGCAGACCCTACCACCAGATGACACAAAAATAGATAAAGAGCCAACAGCAAGGGACAAATGGTAGCTGTACCATTGCCCTACCACATCCATTTGTGAATACAAGTCACTCCTGTTGTGTTGCTCACAACCACTGGTCTGGGGCAAAAGACTGTAAAGTTGCCCTATTTCCCCTTTGTTCTAGTAGGCTGAAAGCAGATGGTTGCTTTTAAGTTTCACTCCCAATGAGCCACCGTAGCGCAATGGTTTGAGTGTTGCACTGTGACCCTCAAGGCCAAGATTCGATTCCCAGATCGGCCATGAAACCCTACTGTGTGACCTTGGGCAAGTCACACTCTCTCAGCCTCAGGGGAAAGCTGTAGCAAACCTCCTCTGAAGTATTAATCTCTCCAAGAAAACCCTGTGATAGGTCAGAAAGTAAGTTGAAGGCACATAACAACAACCAACCCAGTGTTCCTTGAAGCAAAGCCAGCCCTGTACTGCCATAGCTAGAAAGTACCTGGTCAGGAATAGGAGGAGGGGATTGATCCACTTCACATTTTAATGCAGATTTTCTTAATTTCACCCTTTTTTCAGTCCAACAAGTGACCCAAATGTGGCAGCAGAACTCTCCAATTAAAAATGCACCCCAAAATGTTGAGGGAAAGCAGACACAGCTATGCCTATGCTGGTGAAAATCACATTCTCCAACATTCATTATCTCAGGAAAATGACCTGGCGGGG